GTGTGTGTCTGTGTGTGTGTGTGTGTGTGTGTGTGTGTGTGTGTGTGTGTCTGTGTCTGTGTGTGTGTGTGTGTCTGTTTCTTTGTCTGTGTCTGTGTCTGTGTCTGTATCTGTGTCTGTGTCTGTGTCTGTGTCTGTGTCTGCGTCTGTGTCTGTGTCTGTGTCTGTGTCTGTGTATGTGTCACATTTCAGCAGTCTCAAAACCTATATCACATTCGAAAACCCTTGCAAGTCGCAAAGATAGTGAAGATCTGTTTATGGAGGACGAAAATGAAGACAAGTTAGTAATGAAATGTGACAGAAGGTCACATCTAATCAACCAAAGTGAAATAAGCGACGTTGTGCGAGACTTGCAATTATCTAGATCTAAGGAAGAGCTTCTTGCCTCTCGTCTACAACAGTGGAACTTATTGGCATCAAATACTAAAGTAACTTACTACCGAAAAAGAAAGTCAAATTTTTAGCCCTTATTTCACGGAAAAGGATGGCCGGGCTTTTTAATAGAATAAATCAAAAATATGATACAAATAAATGCCGTTTATTTATCAATTCATCTATATATAGCTTGAAAGCTTTATTACTTCATAACAGTAGTATAAAAACATATTTACTCATTATTTATAGTGTAAACAGTAAAGAAACGTATCAAACAATTTATGTTTTATTAAATTGTATACAATACAAATAATGTATGACGGTTCCGTGGCGCAGTGTCTAGCAATGAGTGGCTGCGCTGAGGGCCACAGGTTCGAATTCCGCACGGAAAAAGTATATGTGTGGCCTACAAATAATTGTTCCGGATCTGGATATTTTTCTTTGTGTAATTTATGTTCATAAACTACTTCCGCAACACAGGAGTAAATACTAGTATGGGGGGGAAGGTAACGTTAAAAAAAGAAAAAAGTTTATATGAAATATATGTACTAACTTTTCATCTTAAAAAAATATGAAATGCACAAGTTGAAAATATTGGTTTGTTACTAGGCTTACAGGGCGGTTATACCAAAAATATTCATGTTTTTGTGCTTGTCGGACAGCCGAGATAAAGAAAATCATTATAATCAATACATCAAAAAAATGGTCTGTCCGAAATGAATTTACTCCAGGAAAAATGAATGTGAAGTATAAATCTTTAGTGGAGCCGCAAAATACAATTTTGCCACCATTACACATTAAATTGGGTTTGATAAAAATGTCATCAAAGCTATGTATAAAATCAATTCTGCGTTTAATTATTTACATAAAATTATTCCATGTATTTATTTCAAATGCTAAAATAGGAGAGGGAACTTTCGTTAGGCCACAGATACGTAAGCTAATGCAAGGTAAGGACTTTGAAAACCTCATAACTACTAATGAGAAAAATGCTTGGGATTCCTCTAAAATAGTAGTCTATGGATTTTTAAAAAATCACGAGGATAAAAATTATGAAAAAATATTGCTGATTTACTAAACATTTTTTTCTTTTATTGTTATACTAGCCATTACCCGCGGCTTCACCCGCATGGTCACTGGGAAATGAACTATCCATTGCTTTTCGAATTGAAAGAAAACTGAGTTTTATAGATTTGTCAGAGATGAAGCCATTAAAAGGAAACTGAGCAAAATTGATTCGTCAGCCTGTTTAAATGTTTTGAAACGCAACATATAGGAAAGCATAGAAATAGCCTGTTTATTCCAAATGGAAATGAGATATTTTTTTAATTAAAGGAAACTGAGCATAATTATCCGTCAGGGATGCAGACTTTTGAAAAGAAACTGAGCTAAATTGATTCGTCAGAGATGCAGTTTTCTGAATTGAAAGGAAACAGCCAAATAAAAATCCGTCAGAGATGCAGCCTTTTGAGATGAAAAGAAACTGAGCTTAATAGGTCTGTCAGAGGTGCAGCATTTGGAATTGAAAAGAAACTGAGCTAAATAGGAAATTTTGAATTGAAAGGAAAGATCTGTGGGAATTCTGATTAATTGATTGTAGGAATTTTGGAAAAAAAAAACTAACTGAACACTATTTTAAGACGCTACTGTACACAATGTTATATGTTTTTCCGTTCGGGGAAAGAATGTGGAGAATCTGGGCATTTGACATACGCAAACATGCTACATACAGCTGCCCATGAGAGAAGCACGGTTTTTCTAAGTTGACCCCCGCTACCTGTAACGTTTTCCCTTGCGCTTTATTAATTGTCATTGCAAAATTGAGCTTAATAGCAAACTGCAACCTTTTGAATTGAAAAGGAAGATCTGTGGGAATTAAAGGGATCCGTGGTATAATAAAATTTTCACCTTTTCCTACGCCTGTCAAAATTGTAGCACCGATTATGTTCCGTACAAGATGTGTACCCGTAGCCTTGTCCCGTTACATAACCAAGGAGCATCTAAATTTCGCATTAGCATGACTAGGACGCCTAATTTTAATTGAAGCTTTTGTGAGGGCACACCTGACAATTCTAGAGAATTTAGAAACTCTACGGGATATGAAGTGTTCTGTTCTGTGTCCATAACTGTGTCTACTGACAAATACTCTGTTATTGCTCCTGCTACTTCGCTTAATATATCTGAATTTATTTTGTTAACGCTCTCATTTTTTGGTGCAAGAACCGCTCTTTCACATCATTTGTCGTTATGCATGTTTTTCGTTAAATCTGAATAAACACTCGCAATTAATTCGGAATGACTCTGTACTAAATTACAAAAATCTCTCGTCAATTTAACGCAGCCCTCAGCATCCGTTTCCAACCGCCCATTGCCAATTTTTAATAGTGTGTCAGCGTAGTTTCCAGCATTGATATCATTATACAAATGCACTCTCATATTCGTATTTAAACTGAATTTTGTCACCTTGTTCCACAAAATAGATAACTTGAGTCATGCTTTAATTTCATCTGCAGGTGTGCCCTTTTGAATGACAGGTAAATTTTGGCGAAAGTCACCAGCCAGTAAAACCACCATTCCTTCCATTACATCGGTATTGCTGCACAAATCCTGGAGCATTCGATTTAGTGCTTATACAGCTTTTTTATGCGACATTGTACTTTCGTCCCACACTGAAAGTTTGCATTGTCGTAGCATTATACCTCGTGCACTATTTTTGCTAAAGTTGTGGATCGGCGATTCTCCCTGGGCTAGATTTAGAAGGAGTTTTAAAACAGAAAGTGCAGTGCGGCCCCCGCTTAGCAGCGTGGCGGCTATACCGGAGGAAGCTACGGCCACAGCAATGTTTTTGTCTTTCCGTACTTGTGCTAATAATAAATTTAACAAAAATTTCTTCCCAGTTCCTCCAGGGGCATCTAAAAAGAAAAGTGCACCATTTCCAGATTCAATTTGTCCTAATACTTTGTCAAAAACTCGTTTTTGTTCGGGAAGCAAGCGGGGTACAAATTCGGCTACTTGCTGCTGCAAAGCTGGTATATTGTAGTTTGTTTCACGTATAATTTCATCACTTAGTTCATTTTTGGTTGTTCACTGAGGGCTTATCATTCCAAAGTCGCTTAATTTTTTTGCCTACCATTGCCATTACTTTATCTTCAATTTTTCCAAGTGCTTCATTATAAATGTGTTTATTGTAGGGGAAACGGTATAGTCATTGTTCCCCATGTAGTTATTAGCCATTTCAACTTTGGTTCTAAAAAACTAGCAACCTCGTTGTTGAATGTTATATATTAATATTTATTTTGGCAACACAGTTGTTGACTCCCAAAAAGTTTCGTCAAAACGTCGGTAGGTGAATTTGTCCTTTTGTAATCGGGGATTTCTTCGCGACGGTACGCAATCAGATAAATTTGTTAAAAAAAATGTTAAGAGTACACATTTTTTTAAAAGTGATATTTTGACCATACTGATCATAGTTGAGTATTTGCAAATCTGTATAATATATAGTATTTTAAGCACATTAAGCATGTTAAAACTGAAAAACATTAACATCTTAACATAACCTAAAAGTATTGTGGCCAATTACTGTATCAATTATTTTAAAAGTTTACAGTAATTGACCAGTAATGCCAATAACTATACTTATCTGATACTGAACAAATTATGTTTATAAAAAACTAAATTTCCTTTATTTTTCGATATTCACCGCCCATTCTATTCTCTTAAAATTTAAAATTTAAAAAATATATTAATAGTTATTGGCCTAGGCCAAGTACTGTGTCACATGTAATTCTAAGTCATATAAAAAGTAGGACAATTACTATAATATTAATTCATTTATTTTAAACAAATCACTACTTTTTTTCTAACAGATTAAAGGATAAAGAATCATGCCAAAAATACCTCACTATTCGAAAGAAGCGCTAGATGAGGCTTTAGAAAAAATTCATAGTAAAACAATGTCTTTGAGAGCTGTTGCAAAAAAATATGACATTCTAAGAGCAACTTTATGATTTAAACTAAAAAAACCCTACTTCAAAGTCTGGATTTGGTCCAATACCCTATTTAACAAAACAAGAAGAAAATTCCATTGAGGAATGGTTAATTCAAAGGGCCCGCAAAGGCTTCCTAAGAAAATCAGATGATGTACTAGACAGCGTTCAAAAATTTTTGACTGAAAATCCAAGAGAAACTCCTTTCGTTAATAATTGGCCTGAACAGGGATGGCTGAAGGCTTTTTTAAAACGACACCCCACCTTAACCCAAAGAACTAGCGAAGGAATAACGAAAGCTAGTGCTTGTATAGCTCAGTGTGACATTAAGAAATGGTTTCAAGAAGTAAGAAACTGCCTTACTAATGAAAACCTTTTAGATGTTGTTCAAGATCCTCATCGGATTTTTAATGCCGATGAAACACCATTCTAGAAGTGTCCTTCAACTGGACGTGTCCTCGCTGCAAAAGGAGACAAAGAAACTCTAAAAAAAGCGTAACCGTTCTCTTTACTTTCTCTGCTGACGTCATAACATGCCCTCCATTGATAGTATTTCTATATAAGAGGTTACCTGATAGAGTAGCATCTTCGGTGCCGCCAAAATGGGGTATCGGCCGTAGTGATACTGGTACGGGGTGGATGACGGCGGACGTGTTCAATCAGTTTATAACGGAAATATTTTCTCCATATCTTACCGAACACAATATACCAAAACCAGTAATTTTATTTATTGATGGCCACAAGAGTCACATTACACTACAGCTTAGCTTAACGTGCAAAGTGCTAGGCATAGAGTTGATTGCACTGTACCGTAACACTTCCCGTATTACTCAACCTGCAGATGTGTCTGTTTTCGGACCAATAAAAAAGTTATATAGAAAAGAAGTAGCAAAATTTCAGGCACATAACATGGGCGAGGTAGTGACACAATTAAATATTGCCAGCATTTTAAAATCTATTGTAGAAGAGATAAAGCCCGATAACATAATTAGTGGCTTCAAAGCTAGTGGCTTGTACCCTTTTAATGAAAATGCTATAAATTACACCAAATGTCTAGCAACAAATAATAAGGGACAAGAGCCCAAAGAAGAAAATAAAATGATGTCTCTTAAAGACTTTGAAAGTATTATAGGAGAAGAAATAATTAGCAAAATGAAAGTTCTACAATCCCAGGCAGTAAATGTCAATTCTCCTTGTACAAGCTTTGGTCTTTTTTTCAAGGTGATTTTCCACTGAAAGAATCAACAAATTTAGAAATACAATCTCCAATAAATACAACAACCAATGTAAATCTGAGCAACTAAGATAATGTGACAACAGTAAAACTCACCACGACTCCTATAAAAAATATTGTTTTAGATTTATCCACACCATCTACGTCAAAAGATAAGCCTCATTTTAACAAATCAATCAATGAATACTTACAAAATCCCCAAGTAAATAAAAGAAAATTTATCAGGAAGACAGAAAATAACCCTTATGTAATAACTTCCGAGAACTTTAGAGCAACTATTGAAAAAAGAGAAATTGAGAAACAACAAAAAGAGAATGAAAAAGTAGAAAGGAAAAGAAAAAGAGATGACCAAGCAGCCACTCGGAAACAAAACTCATTTGAAAAGAGAAAAAAAGTGAAAGGCGTGGAGAAGACGTCCATAAATGAAACCATTAAAAAGGAAACTGAAACTGTTACTCCTCTTAATGATATAGAGAGAAGCACTAGTAACGTTGAGACTGTAAATAAAAATGTTTTAAGTGAATCTACTAATAAAATAAAGATATTACACAACATGTTACTGATTACTTGTAATTCGTGCAGACGTCTAGCTTTAAAAAGTAAATCTTTATTGTGTAGTTCATGCAAGAAATCGTATCATAATCAGTGCATTCCTATTAAGCACAGAGAGCATATCCCAAATGAAGAAGACATTTTAGATTTTATATATCTTAACTGTTATATAATGAATGATGACTCAGAGGATGAGGTCAGTAATAATATGTATTAATTCAGTGGGTGGAATTATACAAGAATCGTTTTGTTAAAATGTATGTGATTTTAGTTTTTGTTTTTTATGATTAATAGTAGGAGAGGGTAAAGCCAACAATATAAATATGATTCAGTTGGATACGTTCCGAATTCTTAGTAGACGTGAGTGATTTTATTTTTTTGCTTTTTATGGCCGATAACTGTGCCAATTTCTGGCCAATAACTGTAAATATGTGGCCAACTACTGTAAATTTAAAGATTGTGTTTTTGTTTTAATTTTATTACGAAAATATAATAAATAAGAATATGTAAACAATATTATTCGATTTATATACACTAAGTGAATATAATTAAAAATATTTTGATTAAAACTACTTTTACGGATTTTATCGCGTTTTATTTATATTAATTTTAATACCCGACGTTTCAGGTGCTTTCCAGCACCCATGGTCACGGGGGACTGAGGTGACTGACGTCCCTATGTAAAAGTTAACCCGAACTACCTTCAGCTTTTTAATTATTGTCTTTGGTCCGATTTACGCAGAATGAACTAACTGTATTTTGAAGTCTTACAGTGGTATGCTTGGGTTTAGTTTTAATTTTATTAATTATAGGATCCCAAGCAAGTGGTAGTACCCAGCCTCCTTCTCTATTGAAATTAGGATGTTTTTTAATTTCAATAGCCTCACGTATCATCCTTGGTAGGAATCGATGTTCTTTCGCGAGGATTTGTGGTCTATCAAATCTGATGTAATGGTTGGGGCCGTCTAAAATATGATCGCAAACTGCAGACTTCCCGGAACGTTGATGCTTCACGTCAGCTATGTGTTCTTTTACGCGGGTTCTAATTGATCTCTTTGTTTGCCCTATATATGAGAGACCACAATCGCAATCAAGCTTGTACACTCCTGCATCGTGTAGAGGAATATAACACTTGACGGATGGTAAGAACTGACTAATCTTGTTCGGCGGCTTGTAGAATGTTCTAATAGAAGCTCGCTTCAAGATGTAGCCAATCTTGTCTGTGACACCTCTGACATATGGTAGTATAGCATGCACACGCTCGACTGTGGCCGGCTTCACTCGGTCCCTGTGACGGAGGCGCGGGACCCGAAGCTTGTTGTCGTGCAGAACCTGCTTAACGTGCTGAAGCTCGGCGGTCAGGTGTTTGCTGTCACAGATCTCTCGTGCTCTCTGAAACAAAGATTTGCCCACGGTAGCTAACTGTGAAGGATGATGGTGAGATTCACCATCATCCTTCACAGAAACGAAAATAGAAACAATTTAAGCGTATAGATACCGTATGCACTATAAGTTGACGCGCGGCTCAACGGCAGGAGTTAAGTACCTACATGTAATGTTTTCGTGCATTAAAACCTTCTTGCCCTATATTTCTACCTTTAGGAATATTATTAATTATTTAAAAAATATTTGAACCACCCCTGAAGTATAAACAAATTAATTAAAAGAAACATTTAAATAGCTTAACCCGTTCCGGAAAAATTGATTGGCGAACATACATAAAAACACATATAGCAACAAAATAACAACAAACTAACATACAAGCGTACGGGGCGGGGTTAAAGACGTAAAACGGCTGTATCACGGCGCCCGAAGTAGTAGTTGCTTAATGTGTGAACGCGCCCCAGACGCCCGACCAAATGCTTACAACTCTGTCGTAATTAGCTTAAGGCCTCATTGAATAGCGTTTAGGAGACTGATTGGAAACCGTTTTGAGTGTTAAAGTAGTGCGCGTGTTTGTCATGCACTCTAAACGCTCTGCCAACAAACCGCCCCCCGCAGAAGATTTTACATAGGGTAAGGCACAGCATAGAACGTCCGGCATAGTGTGTGGGGTAGCGATGAGTTTATTTTTTCACATTTTCAGCGGTAGCTACTTGGGACACTGTAAAAGATATGTGTGTGTGTGTGTGTGTGTGTGTGTGTGTGTGTGTGTGTGGTGTGTGTGTGTGTGTGTGTGTGTGTGTGTGTGTGTGTGTGTGTGTGTGTGTGTGTGTGTGTGTGTGTGTGTGTGTGTTTGTGTTTTTCGAATAAGGGTGACAAACGAGCTTACAGTTCAATTCATATTAAGGACGCTGTGGTCCATAGACATCTATATCTATCCTCGATAAAAATCAAAATTCAGGGGCGTTGTCACTCCTGAAGATTAAGATGGAATGCCTCGTTTCTAGTGAAAAGGTTCTCCACACTTACTTTAAAAACATAGCAGCATTAAAGCATTATTTTATGCTGTTGTTTTGTGAGAACGTCGTCCTTCCCCAGTAGAGTCAACCTATTCGTACTACAACTATAAAACAGATGAAGCATAGCACTATAACTTTAAAATTTCCTACACCCAGAGTAGGATATGAGTGAACAGCGTTCAGCAAGGCGTGCAGCGGGGTGTTATGAGAAATGCCACCATTCCACACTCTCCGCTTAATGCTTTTCACTCAGGCTCTAGGCTTAGTAAGTTAACAACCGTAAATATTACTTAACACTGAAAGTATTAATCCAGAACCTACCACAATCCAAAACTGATATAGTTCCCACGACCGGGAGCTCTAATTTATCTACGTCCAACCGCACACTAAATAGTTTTTTTTTTTTTTTTTTTTTTTTTTTATAGAATAGGGTGACAAACGAGCACACAGTCCACCTGATGGTAAGTGGTTGCTGCGGCCCATAGACATCTACATCTATCCTCCATTAAAAATCAAAATGCAGATGCGTTGTCACCCGTGAGGACTGAGATGGAATGCCTCGTTTCCAGTAAAAAGGGTCTCCGGTTCTCTACACTCACCATACGAAATACAGCAGCATTAAGCTACTATTTCACGCTGGTATTCTGTGAGAGCGTGGTCCTTCCCCGGTCGAGCCGACCCATTCGTGCTACAACTATACTACTAATATAACTGCAGCATGGCTCTACCACGTAAAAAGTTCCAACCGAAACAAACGCTAAAGCGACTAACGGCTAATGTTATTTTGAGAACAACTATTAAACATATAAACTGCAAACGCCAGAAGCAACGTGTGAAATATAAACAACATAGTTACCAGTTTCGCGTGTACGATCGTACCTAGACGGTTGGGATGGGAGTTTACTTCGTGGAGTATCGAATGCCGGACAGTGAGCACAAAGTCTAATTAATAACTTACGCACAATAATGCTATCTGAATCGCTTAGTACCGTTTCTACTACTTCTATTATTTGATAGAAAGAAAGAAACATATATTTTGTTGGTAACATATATGTAAATTTACTGTAATAATAACTAAATTAAATTACTATATAACACACCCACTAAAGTAATCCATACTAATATTATAAATGCGAAAGTGTGTTTGTTTGTTTGTTTGTTTGTTCGTACTTATTTCACGTCCGAACAGAGCGTCGGCATGGCATGATTTTTTGTATGAGGATAGTTCGGTGGCTGTAGAGTGACATAGGTTACATTTTTTTTTCGCGGAAAAACATCTCATTCCCGTGGGAAAATCGAATATATTGCACAAGTTTGTCCTTCTTTCACGTCGTAACAGAGCATTGGCATGGCATGTTTTTTGTATGTGGATAGTTCGGTGGATGTGGAGTGACATAGGCTACTTTTTTCAGCGGAAAAACATATCATTCCCGTGGGAAAATCGAATATGTTGCAAAATTAAATTTAGCTAGGTGGCGCCACCGTGATTCTACAAGACGGACGACGGTACAATGGACGAACACAGAAGGTGATGAAATATCTGAATTATTATGTTTTTTTAACAAAATTAAGATAAAATATGTATGGGTCTGTATTTTTCCACGCAGGAAAGGGAAGAGAGCGATAAAAAACACAAAATTCACCAGCTGATTTTCTTCAAACGTTTAGGTGCATTGTAATTCGGCAGAATACATGCCCATTTACAGAATAGGCGATAACCTCGCAGACGATATTAAGTAATCCGTTGATGCTCTGCCTACCCCGCAAGGGTAACAGGCTTGATTATAAGTATTGATCAGAAATACTATCACCACCTGTCATGCTTTCACCCTTAACTATTACTTAACTGTGGTGGAAACAATTCTTAGTAAGCCTTATTAATAAGCCTTAGTAATATTTATTGAACGGAAATGAATACAGTTCTTATATGTGGTTATGAATGAATCGGTATTACAATAAGAAAAATATTTTTTCAGAGTTCTTATTAACTAACGTATACATAGTTTAAATTGATTCCGCTAGATGTCGTTACTAGTTTTTTTTTAAAA